AGCCCCTGAATTAATCATCAGACCTGCTTCAAACGCGGCCACCACTTGACTAACCCGCCCTGGTGCAGGAGCCTCCAAACCATTAGGCTTGGACGAAGGACCCCTTCGTTTGATCTCAAAGCATTGACGGTCTTCCTCCGATTCTGAATTTTCAGAAACCAAGGCTTTAATCAATTCAGCCTTGGGCGCCAGCCCATGGGGCTGTCCCTCTGCTCCGCCCAACTCCACAGGCCCACCTTGGTCAGCTTTCAGCCCATTTGGGCCATCCTTCCGTGGCCCACCGCGCTCCCCCTCCCCCTTGGCCTTCCTCGAATTGTTTTTCTTGGGGGGACGGGCCTGGTGCTGCTTCTGGCCCACACGGCCTTTCTTGGCTGCCCCCTTCCCAGGAGTGGGCTTTTCCCCTGCCACTGGCCCATCGCCATGCCCCGGAACCCGCTCCCCTTCTGGCCCAAAAACCTCACTGGCCCAGTCATCTTGGAGAGGGGCCTTAGAACCAGACCCCTGAACCCCCGCCGGCCCTAAGTCTGTAACCGGTGGAGGCTTATCAATCGTCAACGCATCATCGTCGGAATCGGTTTCCAGGATAAGGCGACGCCGACGAGTGGCGGCAATGATTCCCGTCGAGTCATCGATCAGCTCCAACGGGTCTTCGCAAGAGACACCAAGACCCCTGCGTTCATCCCCTTCACCATCCCGTCCGCCATTTTCAGCTTTATATCCAGGTTTGCCGAGTTTTCTAGAGTTTCTTCCTCGGGCGAGCTGAAGCCTTGGTGGTTTCGTGACAGGAAACCCTCGAGGACTCGTCGATTTGCTTGGATGGGCTCTCAGTCCCTGATCCTGAGTCAATTTATTATTAAGGATTGTGCCTCCCATCGCATCATTCACCGAAGCAGCCTCCGGTTTCTTCCCAACCACGGGCTTCATTTCATCTCGATCACGAACGTAGGTTCGTCCATTGTGGGAAGGGCCATTGATCTGGCGGTTGACCCACACCGTCTGTCTCTGTCCCCTACTCCTCATAGTATCGGTCTCCTCATCGTAGATTTTTCTCCCCAGTTTCCGAGTCGACATGTGAGGGCCAAACCGCTCCCTTCCCTTAGGCGGATCGAACGAGCATTCACGTCGAGCGTGACCCACCCGACCACAATGGTAGCAAAAACTAGGGAGAAACTCATACTTCAGGTTCACCCAAAAACGGTCGACCTCGTCGCTAGCAGCCATTAATTGGGACCGGAGTGGTTTGGCGAAGTCGATAACCGCACCAACTTTGATAAAACGTTCCCCCGTCTCCTTGCAAGCAAAAACATCTGAATCCAGGACTTGACCGATGGCAGCTGCCACCATCTTCCGCCCAAATAATTTAGTACAGCATTCTTCATTGACGCCCCAGAGTTGGATGCGGAATGGGGCTAAGGATAGCTCCTCAAACATCTTTCTGGGGATCGACGGAGCCCAGCTTCGGAGAGTGAGAATCTTATCAGTAATAACCCACGGGGAACGTTGCAGCGCCCAATTAGTTGCCTCCATATTTGGTAGCGTGATTTCAAACAGGCCATGGCTTGTCGTAGCAACCTTCACGCGTCCCTTGATCTGCCAGGCATCGACCAAAGCATCACGCACTTCCAGCGTCGATAGCGGGGCAGAAGTGAACAACCGGCCGATCAGCGTGCGGGCCGCACGGAGCTTGGTCGATTGAATCTCATCCAATGAGAACTGGATCACCTGGTCATCGGACATTCGGACCATTGTTCGAGCCTGACAAGGAAAAACAGAAGGCACTGGATTGTTTATTATAAGATTTTCATGGTCCCTAGACAGGGGCAGAGATGGCACGAGAGTATCGACTCTCTCGCCTGATAAGTTAACGATATCTTCTTTACTCAGCAATAAATTGCAATCGGTATCAGTAGAGGGGGGGGGGGGGTATGAAGATTGAACATCCCCATTCTCCATACCTGAATTGAGATCGTCCGTTTCCTGCACAGAGGAGCTTGCTACCAGAGTTGAATCCCTGCGCTGCTTTTTTACCAAGTAATGGTGATGAATTATACGCAGGGGTGGGCTATATATAATGAGAAACGCAGCCATAGCTGCTTCCCTTGATTTTAGCGCGTTCAAACAATTTCTGGTAGCCTTTTGTGTTGCAGTGGAAGTAGGATTGTGTTTCTCTTCCCACCTTCTGCCGTTGGAATTGGTTGGGGGAGAGGATTTACACAAATCCACCCCAACAGCCCACGAAAATCCCGGGCTGAATCGAGTAACAACAGATACGGGATCTGTCCCCTGATGTTTACGTGATTTTTGAAAACCCAAAAACGGCGACCTGCCCCCGCCGCCGCCGATGGTTAGATTGATTGCAGCAGCCGACACAAAATTCGCCGGCCAGTGCAGAGTTGGTTTTTGCCTCGCTGCTTCCCAACGAAGGCAGGGACGGGGAAGCGCCGAGCTCTTTCCGAGCACCTTTTGCTCCCCTATCACAGGAGGAGATAACGGCAATTCCTCCGCATAAACTTCAGTAGCAATTGAGGGCCCAACTGGACACCCCTTCAACGGCGTTACGGTTTTATGAGCCTCTGCTTCCTCATCCGCCGACTGGATAACTCGTGATTCCTCCTCACCCATCACAGTTGCAGGTGGTAGCCAGAAACGCCATCCCTTCAAAGGCAAGGTTCTGCCTCTCTTGGCAGCCGGTAGACTGCACGAGACACCCCTTCCCCACGCATCACCACGTTTCCTTTTCGGAGCTGATCTTTCCGTTCTGTTTGCTGGTGTAGTGGTTTGCCGACGGTCATCCGACTTTCTGCACTTTGGCGTACTCGGCTGACCGGCGTTACAGACTACAGTGTTGAAAAGTGAGTCACCGTCGGTGACTTGTTGATTTTGCAGGCTCGTAGCTAGCCATGAAGATATCACCATCAAAAGCCATTCTCCAATTCTGCTCGCCACTCTGATGAGAGAGGAGAGAGCTCCTCTCCCCATTTTTTTTGTTAAAATCGTCTCAAATATGTAAAAGCCCCACCCTCCTTTTCTGTTTGTCGAGAGGGAAAAATCTCCAATTTTTGCCTCGCAACTCTCTGCCCTTTGCTCCACCCTTCAATTTTTGGGCTCGGGCTGCCGACATCCCTATTCCCGTTCAAGCTTCCATGATGTTGCCTGCTGCCACCCTTTGAGCTTTCTTATCCACAATTAGTGTTGACTTCACTTGTTGCACCTACAAGTTGTGAAATGGTCTTTTTCATCTATCAAGTTAATCAGGAAACGATCTTAGAAATCAGTTGAGTAACTGATTTATGAATGATTTTTTAGTTGTGTACATTGAAAAATGTTTGATTTGCAATTCAGAATATGAAAATTCATAATGGTGGTTAAAAAACAATGAAATTTCATTTACGCTTGCCTGTTTGGGCTGTTTCTAGAATGCATAAGGGATGATTTGTTTATCCTTGTTGTTTTTATATTATTTTCAACTGCCTTTTGTTTTAAGTGGAGTTTGCCCTTCATAAATATTAGGCTAAAGTAAGCGTGCTAAGTGCTAACACCTAGTTTGTTTTTTTTTTTGATAGAACACCTAGTTTGTTAACATAGTGCTAATTCTAACTCCAGTTAATAAGTTAATAGGAATATATTGTTTTGATGCTTTTTATAAATCAGTTGTGTTATATCATCGAAAAATTATGGTTGACAACCGGTGGCGGAGCCACATGTAGCCAAGGTGGGTCATTTGCACCACATTGGCTCAAAATGTGGAGTAATTATATTTATGCGATTGTTGATTGAATACAAGATCTCTATATTATTATATATAATTCAACGAAAACTAATGTTTTGTGATCTGTATTTAACTTTTAATTCATATATTTAGTTGATGAGTTTAATATCAACAAAAACTCAAACTTAGGAGGTGTTTGTTGCTATCGGTTGTCATTAAAGTGTTGAAAGAGCATTTACTGCAATAAGCAAAGCAAAGAAACATTTCTAAGTAAGATGAGTACTTATGAAATAATGAACGAATTTTTCCTGTGGTATCTTAACATAACATCTCTCATAATGTGCGTGATGAATGTATTTTAGAAAAAAATTTCAAAACATGAGCACATCATGAAATATACGTATGTATGTATATATATATATGGGTCAGACTCGTGTGCTCCTGGAGCATACTATGCTCCATGTGCTCATAGTGAGATATCTCTATCTAGACCATGAATTAAACCGAGTTTGGGGTATGATACTATACCCTAACCTCAAATAGATAAACCTCATGCCCCGATTTTCTAATCCTAAACCTAAAGTTCAATTTAAGAGAAAAGAAGAGGTGAGCATTGAGATTAGTCGGAGCTAATCCATGGAAATCTAACTGTCAAATCATCTGAAATATATTCCACGTTTGACCCACCTTAAATAAAATTCTGACTACGTCATTGTTGACAACAACCCTTGCCAACTAAGATAACTATAGACCTGAATTAAACCAACACAACCTATATCACCAAAACCTCTGCAAAACTTGTTTAATAAATTTAACCAAACTATCAAAATCCATCGAGTCACCAGCATATATTATATATCTTTTACAAGCAATTAAATTATAAAAAAAAACATATTTCGATATCATCAAGTTGGATACATAGAGATAGGGGTGGCAGTTCGGTTGTCGGTTAGCGGCTAACCGGACGGTTAGACCGATAACCGCCGGTTAGCGGCTAACCGAAAACCGACTGTATACAGTCTCAGTCGGTGGTCGGAGTGGCTGGTAAGAGAGTCGGCTAGCCGAGCAACCGAAATCAGCTAGCCGAGTAACCAAGACCAACCGACCCATATAAAACCCGCGCCCAAAAATCCACCCCAAACCCTATCATCCTTCTCCTTCTCCTTCTCCTTCGTGGATCTCGACGCCTCCCTTCCCTCACCACCAGCAACCACCCCCCGAATCCACTTCTCCCTGAATCTTCTTCTCCTTAAATTTTCGAATCCCTAAATCTTCTTCTTCACCCATCAACCTTCTATTCCACCCTCACCTCCACAAAGTCACAATCCGTCGGATTTACCGTCGGACTCCTTCTCGTTTCGACGTCGCCGGCGTTCTTCCCAGTCGTCGTCGTATCCTTCTTTCCTCGATCGATGGCAGAACCACAATAGAACCAAAAATAAACTATCAAAACCCAAAATTGAAATTGAACCTCCGAAACCAACATGCAAACAAAAAAAAACCTACCTTTGACCTTTTTCTTCGTCGTCGTCATCATCATTGTCGGCGTTGGTGCAACCATCCTCGTCGCCGTCAGGTGGTAAAAGAGGGTTCGTTCCCTCTCCTCTCCTGACCCCTCGCCGATTCCGAAAAGAGAGAGAGACGGAGAGACGGAATGGGAGATGAAACGAGAGGAAGAAGAAGCAAATCGCAGCACCAGCCGCCGCCCTCCGCCTCTGTCCGCCGTCTTCGCGAGGTCGCTCCTCCCTCTCCCGTCGGCGGCAAGCGTCCTTCTCGGCTGCTAAGGAAAAGAAAGGAGAAAGAAGGATGGAGGAGAGAGACGGAGAAGATATGGATAAGTGGTGGTGGTGGAGGGTTTGAAAGGAGAGAGACGAAGGAGATAAGGAATAAGTGATTCTGTATTTTTTGATTTTTTTTTTTTTAGATTAGGGACTGGTTTTCGGGCATAAGGTTAACCGAACCAAAACCGGCTAACCGACCGGTCGGTGGTCGGCTAGCCGATGTATATTTCACGGTCGGTGGTCGGTATCCGGAGGTGGTCACTCGATTTAACCGATAACCGAGAAATCGGTTTTCGATTAAACCGAAACCGACCGACTGACACCCCTACATAGAGACATGCCTTGGGTTTTCAGGCTACATATAGAAATCCCCCCAAAAAAAAGTAAACGACAAAGCTGCCGAAAACAATCCGGAGATACTGCACTTCCAAGCGACGTACGTAGCCAAGAGCCCCATAATCCCCATGCACCTTCACTGGCTATCATCGACGAATGCGGTGGTATTATCAAAACCTAACCACTGCGCCAATGATCAGTACTACACCACAAATTCATCATCATTCTTATCAATCACCAGTTTCAGAAAAGCGAACAGTATGGAGCAGCTGGTTATGATCCGCAAACTCCAGCTAGCGGTGGTCGTTCTGGCGACGGTAGTACTGATACAAGATTCTGCAGCAGATGATGATGAGGATTATAACTCTGTGACGGTTCATGTTACCAACAAGTTGAGCAGCAGAATGGCGCTGATGGTGCATTGCCGATGCGGATACGTCGACCTTGGCGGTCGTGCGGTTGAGGCCGATTCCAATTACAGTTGGGGTTTCTGGCCAAGGCGTAGGCGTGGCTATCCAGCTGGGAGGGGTTTTGCGTGCCACCTCGCATTTCAAGATAAGCGTCTTGATTTCACAACATTCGCCAGGTTTGGAGATTTAGAATACGATGTATTTGATGATGGAGTTTATGGGACTAGCTCGGATGGTGGGAAGCAACGACTTTCTGAGTGGAGGAGGTTGATTTAGGCATTTAGCTTTACAGTGTCAAAAAATAGACGTTGGTGCCATCATATTCCATCAAAATATATAGTAATGAGTTTTTTTTTACCTTTCTAATCATCCTTAATTGTTAGGAAGTTAGTTAATGATGGTCATACGTACTTTTTATACTTTGTTCTTTCGTCTTTTACCGTTTTTATTTACATATATATTGCCATATCTGTTCTAATCATAGTTGTCAAACGGCAGGGGCAGCCCTCCTCCGGATCTAGAGTTAGTATAGCCCTTATAAGTTTATTGATTTTAGCCATTCGGTTCAATGTTATTTTATAATAAGATTGTGTGTAATTGAAAAAATAGGTTGGATAAACATATTCAAATCACAACTCTAAATTTAGCCTAAAAATTCTAGCTCCAATGATTCTCTTCTAAAGAAAAATAAACAATGTAACCTAAAATTCTAAAAGTCTAAAACGTTTTGCTTCATGGATTTGGAAAATGAAGGTTTTGGTAAAACTTGGGTTTTGTAAAATCATGGATATATGAAGGTTTTGGGTTCACTATGGACTTGTAAAATACCATTGTTTGTTTCATTGATTTTATGATGGATTTGTTTAATTAGATTTGTGTGCAAGAAGTGAAAATGACCTACATTACCCTCATTGGTATGAGATGAGAAAGATAAAATGAAGAGAAGTTTGGTCATAATTGATGAACTTTAAAGTCCATGATCAAGTCTCACCTTAAGATGTGGAATTTTCAAGTCTGTGGGACCCTTAAAGTCCGTGGGACCCACGGATTTGTTGCCATCAAATACATGAAGCAAACAATAAACTTTGGACAAAGTCCATGATAGATCCAAATCCATCATTAAATCCTTCACCAAATCCATCAAGCAAACAAGCCCTAAAGAACTATGAGGTTTGTTCCCTTGAAAAGTTACTAGAGCAGCTAGTGAAAATAGGGATGAACACACAATACAAATTGATTAGTGATTGATTTGTCTAGTGTTGATATTCCCGTTTGAACAACTACTATGGAGAAACCTTTTCAACAATGAAACATGTGAAATATGATTTGCGCAACAAAATAAGCGATGAATTTCTCGTTGATTGGTTTACTATTTTTTTTTTAAAGGAGAGTAGTATGCTATTGTTATGGATGTACGCTCCATTATTGATGAATTCGTTATCTTAAAAGATCGACGTGTACAATTGATATTGTAAAAAATTATGATTTTTATGGTATCTAAATTTCTAATGAAATGCAACTCAGTGCTCTACTATGTCCTAGATCCGCCGCTATCAAACGTGTGTCGTACCGGCCGGTTTAGTTGGGTACAATTGGTACGGATCATCAAACCAACTACAAAAGGTCGGTTGTAAGATTTACTCAAATCCGATCAATAGCGAGAAAACCTATTTGTCTTACGAGAAGTCCAATTCCGAACACTTTCACAAATGTCCTCCAAAAATATACACCAGCAATGAGATTCGACTATACCTCATGTTCCCGAGTTCCATCCTACACCAAAAGCCCATATGCAACTTTTTTTTGTTGAATCTTTAAGTGAGGTTGGTGATGCTTGAACCATGGACATTCTTTTCTTTAAGTCATCAAGGTCACCACTATGCTAGACATAAATATTTTTTAATATAAGAACCTGTATGTACTTTATTAGGCAGAAGAGGCGGTTACATTATCAATGTTCAACTGATCAAGTAAAATCAGCGGCGGACGATCCAACCAAACTTCTCTTTCATCCCAACATGTCTCTACTCGGGCCATAATATGGGCTACCACATTTGCTTCCCTCCTAATAAGCTTCCACTCCACCCTTCCCAGTGCTCTGCTTATCCGGCACATGCTCGTGCAAATGACGCTTATTGTGAAAGTTTGGAACCCTTCTTTATGAAGGAAGAAGAGAAAGTCTGTAGGGTTTTGGGAATGGCTTCTTGCCTTTCCATTCAGCCTTAGCTGTAAATATATAGTCTGTACAGAACTAAATCAAGGGAATAAATAAAAGAAAGGATGCTAATCTACACCAAAACGCAACTGATTGAACAACTTTGTTCGTCTTGGCCAGCAGAGGAAGGAGGTGAAGCTTTGCTTGTGAAGTGAACCTGTTGCTGACCTGGGATGATCCACTTGGTGACCATCTTCACATGCCCCCTCAAGCTGGCGTGTATTGATCGAATACACCCAGCTTGCTCAATAGAAAATGAAACTGATCTGCAGACAAACCCTTGGTGAAGACATCAGCTTGCTGATATTCAGTGGAGACATGTTGTAGGGTGATCAAACCAGCTTTCAACCTTTCACGAGTAATATGCAAGTCAACCTCCAAGTGTTTTGTCCGCTCATGGAAGACTGAGTTTTCAGCTATGTAGATAGCTTATTGGTTGTCACAAAAGAGAGGAATAGGTTGAGGGTGTGGCACTTGAAATAAGTCCATCAAACCTTTCATCCACTGGACTTCACAGCACAATTGTGCTAGTGATCTATATTCCGCTTCACAAGAGGACCTTGAAATCGTTATTTGTTGTTTACTTTTCCAAGTTATAAGTTAAGTTCGAAGGAATGTACAATAACCTGTAACAGACCTTCTTGTGTCAGGGCACGTGGCCCAATCAGAGTCACTGTAGCCTCTGATGGTTAAGTCTGAAGATCCTGAGAACCATAAACCTTGCTCAGAGCTCCCTTTCAAGTATCTCAACACTCTGTGTAAAGCTTGCAAATGAGTAGAAGTGGGGCTACCTTGAAATTGAGACAGCTGTTGAACTGGGAATGCTATGTCTAGCCTTGTAGTGGTTAAGTACCGGAGTTGGCCCAGCAAGTGCATGTAACCTTTATCATCATCAATTGGTACACCATCTTCAGCAGACAAGAGAGTCTTCATACTCAGAGGAGTTTTGGCAGGCTTGCTATTTAAGAAACTTGTATTAGCAAGCATTTCCAGACAAAAATTCCTCTGATTAAGAGAGATACCTGCTTTACTTCTCTGGATCTCCAGTCCCAGAAAATACTTGAGTTCTCCCAAATCCTTGACTTTGAATTCCTTATGCAACCATCCTTTCACTTGTTGAATCAAATTAATGTTACTGCTTGCCAGGATCATGTCATCTACATAAATGACTAAGAAAAGATGATTTGCACTTGATGTGTAATTGAAAACGGAATAGTCAGCATAGGAATGTTTGAAACCAAGCTTCATTAAGACATCAGTTAAACTTACAAACCACTTTTGCGGCCGTCAGCAAAGGTTAGTAGCAATTTTAAGTATCGTCGGGGTAAACTTCGCAACGGTTTTTGCAGCGGTGCAACCGTTGCTGTACCACTTTTTTGGGCGGGCATAATCCAATCATTGGTTTTTTATTGCGGTTGCAACCCGCTGCCGCACTTTGGCATCAATTTTTCGTGGGTTTTTCTGTGGTTTTCAGTGGTGGTGAAGCATTGATTTTTTTTTTAAAAATATGGCTCTGGAGGAGCTTAATTATGGAATCGGACATGTAGTGCCTAATTTTTTTTTAAGTATATATAATGATTATAATACGTATGTACAAATACAATAATATCCAAGTAACTAGGATGGAATCTAAATATAAAATCCTCCTAATAATTTCTGTCCAAGTAGTACAAATTGATAAAGTTGTGGAGAAAAAGACAGAATCAAGAAACTATACATGCTACTACTGCAATTTTTGTCTAATTATGCTAAAATCCCCTACAAATATGCAGCAAGTGTTCTGCAGTTTTGTTGCAGCCTTCTTCTTTGCTGCAAAGTTTTCGGTGCGCGTTGTTGGAGCTTTCTGTTCTTTCCTTCAAACATACCAAGTTTAAAATCATCGTCCACAAGTTATGACCAGTTTTTCTTTCCTAACACA